AAAGGGAGGGCGGAGGCTCCGGGGGCTGGGCGGCCAAAGGGGGCAAGGGGGGGGGGCAAGCTTCCAAGCCCCCCCCCCCTTTGGCACAAAGGGGGGGAGGGGGGTGGGAGCTTCCAGCAGGGCGGCTCCAAGGGAGGGGGGCGGTAGCTTAAGCACCCCCCCGGGGGTAGGGGGGGGTAGCTTCCGGGGCGGCCAAAGGGGGGTGGGGGGTGGGTAGCTTCCAAGCCCCCCTCCCCCTTTGCACGAAAGGGGGGGAGGGGGGGAGGTAGCTTCCAGCAGGGCGGCGCCAAGGGAGGGGGGGGTGGCTTAAGCACCCCCCCCCCCTTTGGAGCTTCCGGGGAGGGCCCAAGGGGGGAGGGGGGGGTAGCTGTAAGCCCCCCCCCCTTGCAAAAAAAGGGGGGGGAGGGGGGGGTGCTTCCAACAAGGGCGGCTCAAGGGAGGGGGGGGTAGCTTAAGCCTAGCCCCCCCTCCCCTTTGCTCGGGCCCTGTGGGCGCGCTCTCTCTTACCACCCACCACCACCACCACCACCACCGACCACCACCACGACCACCGCCCACCACCAACCACCCCCCACACCAACACCAACACCACCACAACACCACCACCACCAGCACACCCACCACTACTACTACTACTCCTACTCGACTACTACTACTACTACTACTACTACTACTACTACTACTACTATAGCTACTACTACTACTACTACTACGACTACTACTAACTACTTCTACTCTACTACTACTACTACACTACGCTACTAACTACTACTATACTACTCTACTACTACGACTACTATGAACTACTATGAACTACTACTGCTACTACTACTACGACTACTACTACTACTACTACTATTTCTACTACTACTACTACTACGACTACTACTACTACTACTACGACTACTACTACTACTACTTCGACTACGACTACTACTACTACTACTACTACCACCACCACCACCACCACCACCACCACTACTAGTACTACTACTACGACGACGACGACGACTACGACTAGTATTACTACTACTACTACTACTCGTACTAGTACTAGTACTACTACTTTCCTACTACTACTACTACCACTACTACGACTGCTACTGCTACTACTGCCACTACTACTACTACTACTATTACTACTACTACTACTACTACTACTACAACTACTACTACTACTACTACTACTACTACTACTACTACTTCTATTAGTACGACTAGTACTACTAGTACTACTACTGGTACGACTACTAGTACTAGTACTAGTTCTAGTACTAGTACTACTAGTACTAGTACTACCACTACTACTACTACTGCTACTACTATTACTACTACTACTACTACTACACTTGCTACTTCTACTACTACTACTGCTACTACTACTAGTACTACTACTCCACTACTACTACTACTACTACTACTACTACTACTACTACTACTACTACTACTACTACTACTACTACTACTACTACTACTACTACTACTACTACTACTACTACGACTACTACGACTACTACTACTACTACTACTACTACTACTACTACTACTACTACTACTACCACTAAAGCAAGCACACCAACTGCAACAGCAGCAGTAGCAACAACAGCAGCAGCAAATACAACAACTATCTTGCTTCTCGGTCCCCGATTGGGTCCCGAGACAAACCCGAGAAGACGCTTCAAGGGTTCAAGAGGACCCCCAAGAGGCCCTGAGAGGTCCCCAAGTAACCCCAACAGACCTCAAGAAGCGCCCGAGAGGCCCCCATCAGGCCCGAAGAAACTGTCTCCCCTCTTCCGCCCTCCCCTTTGCCGTATAGGAGCCCCCCCGTGAAAGTTCCAAGAGGCCCCGAGAGGTCTCTGGGTCACCCGGAGATGGTACTGCAGCATCTCCGGGCGACCCGGAGACAGTTAAGAACCTTCTTGGAGTTTCCTCGGGGCCCTCTTGGGGCCTCCTTAAGCGCCCCCAAGCTGTCGTGGAGCCCCCAAAGAGAGCTCCAAGAGGGCCCCGAGAGGTCTCCAGGTCACGCAGAGATGGAAAGTTTTGCAGCATTTCCGGGTGGCCCTGGGACTTTTCGGGACCCTCTTGGAGTCTTTTCGGGGCCCTCTTGGGGTCCCAGCAAGCTCCCAAGATGCCCCCAAACGGCACCCCTAAGACGCCCCAAGAAGCCCCAAGAAGTATCAACATATTTCAAGAGTCGCCCAATGTGCCCCTATCAGGCCCCTATGAGGCCCCAAGAACCCCCAGTAGGCCCCCAAGAGGCCCCAAAAAGGGCTCCCAAGAGGCTCGGCGATCGTTTCAGAAAATTACTGAAATCGTACAATGTTCGGATGCATGCTGACCCTGGCGCCGCGTATACTTGCGAAGGCTCTCCGCATGCCCCCACGCCGCATCACGAAAGGCGATCCTGATGCACATAACCTCACAACGTGAGTTGCGGTGGTCCCCTGGGTCCCCTTCTGGGGCCGTTTTGGAGAACTCTTGGGCCGCATTGTGTTCCTCATGGGTCGTCTTGCTGCCCTCGTGGGTCGTCTTCGGACCCTCTTAGGGGGCCTCTTACAGTAGGCCGTCTTGGGCCGATCATGGTGGCCTCTTGGGCCTTCTTGAAACGTTGGAACCCCGTAAAAGCGAGAACGCTAACATCCTTCAAAAACAATTGAACAACTTTGGTTTGGGCCTCTTGGGGCCCCTGGGGGGTCCTCTTGGAGCCCCGGGGGGGCGTCTGCAAGGTCTTTTTGGCCGTCTTGAAGCCATTGTGAGCGTCTTGGAGCGCTCTGGGGCCGTCTCGGAGCCCTCTTGGAGCAGCGCAATCGCACCCGAAGCTCACGCGAAGTCTTTGGATAGCTCAGGCTGGAACCTTCCTGAAGGCCCCCCGAACCTCAAGCCGAGCCCCGCAAGAGAAAACAGTTGTACAACGAGCGGATGCATGGTGGCCCCCCCGCGAGGAAGCTGAACAAGCCCTCTCTTGGGGCCTTCTTGAGTCTCTCTTGGACCTTTATTGGGTTTTTTTCTAATAGGGCCCGAACTTTAACACAAACTTGACACAATATGTTCTCCAATAAGGAGGCGGTTTGTCTTACATGTGTGTAGAATTATTTGCCCCCTTGGAGGTCTCTTAGGGCCTTCAGAGGGCTCCAAGAGGGCGAGGGCCCCAAGAGGGCCCCAAGACTGTTCCAAGAGGATCCACTTGTTCAACACTGATTTAACACAAGACGCTCTCCAATAAGGAGGCGGTTTGTGTTAGATTGTTGAATTCTTGGGGCCCTCTCGGAAGCCTCTTAAGGGCCGTCAGAGGGCTCCCGCAGGGCCCCAAGAGGCCCAGGAAGCCCCCGCGAAGGCCCCAAGACGGCTCCAAGAGGGCCCGACACGTTATACAGCACCAGCACCAGCACCACGGGCAGCCAAGGCAGCACCAGCAGCATCGACTCCAGCAACAACAGCAACATCAGTAGCAGCAGCAACGAGAGAGTCAGCAACGGAAAGATGATTCCAAGATGGACCCAACAGGGTTTTGAAAGGATCACGAGATCACCCCTGTCGCCCCAAGATGCCCACCCCTGCTAAGCAATAGCCCCATGATGACCCCAGAGCGACCCTGCGGCTGCAAAAGAAAACCGAGACGAGCCCCTTATCTTCCGACTGAACCAAGGCTACCGCGTGACCCCGATGTTTGGTGGCCCTGGGACGACCCCATGAGCCCAAGACGACTTAGAGATTGCCCCCAGATGACCCTTTTCAAACCCTTGTTGACGACCCCAAGATTGTGTCAATATGGCTCCAATGTGACTCCGATGCGTTTCTTTATTCTGCCCTTGCTCTTGGCTTGGGCCGATAGGACGGATGGGGGTGCTGGCCCTCCACCCCCTCGTCGTCGTTCTCTTTCTCCTTCCCCCTCGTCCTTGTTGCCCTCGTCGTCGTCTCTCTGTCCTCCTGGTCCCTTGGCCCCATACAGAGCAAAAAACCGAATCCCGAACACAAGCCGCATCCATCCATTCTCTGATCCCATGTGATAGCCCAGGCCGAGGTCTGTCTAGCCCGCACCGCGCGCCACATGCTACACGTATTGCCGCCGGCCTCGGTGCGCTCGCCGAGGGTCGGCCAAGGCGCGCGCTGGCTCTGGCGGGAGACCCTCGCAGGGCTCGAGAGCCCAGGCCCGCTCTGATTTTTCGACGCGCGTGCTGCCTGGCAAGGAGAAGACGCCCATCTCCGAGTTGGTCTCGCCCGCGGCAGCCACCGGGGCAAAAAGGGGCGCAGGCCTCGGGTGTATCTGACGCCTTCGTGGGAGCAGCCTGCTCCCAAGGTCCGCCCGCAGCAGGGCCTGGATCACTGCCTGCGGGGCGGCCTTCCCAGCGCACGATGCCAGTTCTCGAGGGAGTGCGGGCATCTTTCGGTTTTGCCCGCGCCGAGGAAGCCCGCGAGAGAGGCCGCCTTGCTGTGGCCGAGGGAGCGGCGAGGGCCGCTCAGCGCCAGGGGGTCGACTCCTAGGCAACGGGGCTGAGTTGGGGCCGAAACGAAGGCTTTGGCCCCCTGCGGGACCCCCTCTGGGCGCCTTCAGGGCGCGCTTCTGAGTTCAAGTGCTAGCAAACCTTCATGTCCCGAGGTGATCAAATATGCTTTCACCGTATGTACCAAGGCTCCCAAGGGCTACGCGTGACGCCCAAGCCTTCCGAACGCCAAGGCTTCCAACAAGAACTCCCAGTGGAGCACAAATCTCTCAAACGTCAAGACTCCCCAAATCGGATGGCGCCGTCATAAGCACTCTTGGGGAGGTTCCACGGAACCGCTTTTTCCGGCCCCGTGCCTGCCCAGGTTCTAGCACGCCCATTCCGTGTAGGAACGGTGGCGGATATCATCGCGCGCCCGCACTCCGCACCCGCCCTTCGCACTTCGTACTCGTACCTTATAACTGTCGTTTCTTGAGTGATTTGAAGGCACGACGTCGAACCAGCAGCTGGGAGCCACGCGCCATGATCAGATGAGAAGTAAGGGGCGCCCGCTGCGAGGGACATGCTCAGTCGCGTGCACAAGCCCTTGATGAAAAGGTTCAACCAGGAGGGCAAACTGAACGAGCTCGAGGCGTGCGCGGGCCGCTGTGCCCTCCCGATGCGCGTCCGCTGCAGGGAGGGGCGAGTGTGAATGGGACACGGCTCGTGGAGGGCAAAAGTGGCAAGTGTCACCACCCACCAAAATACCCCAACCCAATCCGATGGTCCCAATATAGTAGGAGGAGAAGGAGGAGGAGGAGGAACCCTCCATTCCCGTTGGGGGGGATAACAGTGCCAGGAACAGTGGTGTCAGCGCTGGACTCCAACAGGGGGTCGCTTGAGTGCCACCAGAGTCGCCCGAACACTGGCCCGACCACTTCATTGTGGAGCTGCCGCCCCTGGGACACAATGCGTCGGGTCAGTGCTCGGGCCTCCCGGTCATCACCCCGAGGGGCTCGGCCGACCCGGGCGCCTGACCAGACCTTCGGGATCCCGAGTCATGGCATGGAAGGAAGTCGACAGGGATGGGGACGAAACCGGCGGCGGCCGCGCGCGGGTGGCGCGGGAGAGCATGGGGCGGGGGTAACGAAGTGCGAACGGGGTGGGGATGGCGGCGGTGTAGAGCAAGCAAGTCCGGCCGGGTGACCCGAAGAGCCGCACGCCCCAGTAGTGGGGACGAGACGAAGATTGTGAAGCAACAAAGACGATTATTTGTTCAAAATGCGAATAGCACCCCTTACAGACAGAATGTTCGGCTTCGCGCGCGGCGCGGCGACTAGAGTGGGCGCTTTTTTACCTAACAGCGAAGACTGATAGGTTTCTAGTAGGGTCAAAAGAGAGCATCATGACTCCCCAGGGGGGTCTGGGCGGCATCCGGGGGAAAGCCGGCGGCTGCCGTCGGAGCCCAAATCGCCTGGGACATCTTCGCAAAATCGCTCTTGGCGGTCCCAGAACTCCACTCCCGGGCTACATTTTGGATGCCCAGCGCCAATTGTGCTCCCAGAACTCCATTCCCGGCCCACATTTTGTATGCCAGGAGCCAACTGTGGGCCACTTCGTGTTCTCCGGGCCACATTTTGGATGCCCAGAGTCAACTGTAGGCCACTTCGTGTTCTTCGAGTTCCCAGAATTCCATTCCCGGGCCACATTTTGAATGCTGAGGCAGGCTGAGGCTGAGGCTGAGGCAGGCTGAGGCTGAGGCAGGCTGAGGCTGAGGCCGAGGCTGAAGGCAGACTGAGGCTGAGGCAGAAGCAGGCTGAGGCTGAGGCAGAGGCAGGCTGAGGCTGAGGCAGGCTGAGGCTGAGGCTGAGGCAGGCTGAGGCTGAGGCTGAGGCAGGCTGAGGCTGAGGCTGAGGCAGGCTGATGCTGAGGCAGGCTGAGGCTGAGGCTGAGGCTGATGCAGGCTGAGGCTGAGGCAGGCTGAGGCTGAGGCGAGGCTGAGGCTGAGGCTGAAGCAGGCTGAGGCTGAGGCTGAGGCAGGCTGAGGCTGAGGCTGAGGCAGGCTGAGGCTGAGCAGGCTGAGGCTGAGGCTGGGGCTGATGCAGGCTGAGGCTGAGGCAGGCTGAGGCTGAGGCCAGGCTGAAGGGCTGAGGCTGAGGCTGAAGCAGGCTGAGGCTGAGGCTGAGGCAGGCTGAGGCTGAGGCAGGCTGAGGCTGAGGCAGGCTGAGGCTGAGGCTGAGGCCGAGGCAGAGGCAGGCTGAGGGCTGAGGCTGAAGCAGGCTGAGGCTGAGGCTGAGGCTGAGGCTGAGGCAGGCTGAGGCTGAGGCTGAGGCTGAGGCTGATGCAGGCTGAGGCTGAGGCAGGCTGAGGCTGAGGCCGAGGCTGAAGGCAGACTGAGGCTGAGACTGAAGCAGGCTGAGGCTGAGGCTGAGGCAGGCTGAGGCTGAGGCTGAGGCAGGCTGATGCTGAGGCAGGCTGAGGCTGAGGCTGAGGCTGATGCAGGCTGAGGCTGAGGCAGGCTGAGGCTGAGGCCGAGGCTGAAGGCAGACTGAGGCTGAGGCTGAAGCAGGCTCAGGCTGAGGCTGAGGCTGAGGCAGGCTGAGGCTGAGGCTGAGGCAGGCTGATGCTGAGGCAGGCTGAGGCTGAGGCTGATGCAGGGTGAGGCTGAGGCAGGCTGAGGCCGAGGCTGAAGGCAGACTGATGTTGAGGCTGAAGCAGGCTGAGGGTGAGGCTGAGGCAGGCTGAGGCTGATGCAGGCTGAGGGTGAGGCTGAGGCAGGCTGAGGCCGAGGCTGAAGGCAGACTGATGTTGAGGCTGAAGCAGGCTGAGGGCGAGGCTGAGGCAGGCTGAGGCTGAGGCAGGCTGAGGCTGAGGCTGGGGCAGGCTGAGGCTGAGGCAGGCTGATGCTGAGGCAGGCTGAGGCTGAGGCTGAGGGCTGATGCAGGGCTGAGGCCGAGGCCGCACGCCAGACTGAGGTGAGGCGAAGCAGCTGAGGCTGAGGCTTGAGGGCAGGCTGAGGCTGAGGCTGAGGCAGGCTGAGGCTGAGGCTGAGGCTGAGGCAGGCTGAGGCTGAGGCTGAGGCTGAGGCAGGCTGAGGCTGAGGCAGGCTGAGCTGAGGCCGAGGCTGCAGGCAGACTGAGGCTGAGGCTGAAGCAGGCTGAGGCTGAGGCTGAGGCAGGCTGAGGCTGAGGCAGGCTGAGGCTGAGGCTGAGGCAGGCTGAGGATGAGGCTGTGACTGCGACTGCCGTTGCCACTGCGACTGTCATCGCGAATGCGACTACGACTGCGAGAACAGCAGAATTCTACAACTGGATTCTCATCCGAATCTTAAGGGGAATGCTTCCAGATATGCTCCTACACATCGCTGTTAGGTTGCTTTGCCAGGATACTTTGTTGTTATTTCATGTTCATGCTTTGTATCAGCAGCACCGCGCACATCGTAGCTTACGAGGTTGTTGTCTGCGGAGCCTGCGAGGTCGTTCTCGGGACACCGCATGTTACTGAACATTGCGTCCTGGACCAACGCGCCAGGATGAAGGAGGAGGGGGTGACGCGGGAAAGCCGGGGCACCACGGTGCCTCCTCCGCTCGCTCCCTCAGCGGGGCTTTCTTGGGAGCGCCTAGGATTAAGTAAGGCATGTTTTTCTACAGGAGGAGTATTCAAAATAGCCCCAAGAACATATGGGGACGTTTTCTTTTATAGTGTTTTGATTATTTGGGGTGTATTTTTGGCTATTACCCATTTTTCTTCCAAAGTCCGCCTGTACGAGGACATGCCCGACCTAAGCCTAGGAGCAGATTGTGTGTGAAGACTTCCCATGCGAACCAGCCAGCTTGGGATTTGGCATCTTCTCTTTCCACAATCTAGAGTTTGTCATGTTCTTGCGGTGTCGGTGGCCGCGATTGGGGGCTTCTTTTTATAGAGTATTCTTGGGGGTCAGGATGACGTGAGCCCATCAGGTGACCTCTTTCAATCCTTGACGCTTCGCGTATCCCCACCAGCCTGCTGTCTGCTTCACTTCGATGTGGTTGGCGCCTATGTGCGTTCGCCTTAATACGGAGCATTTTGCTCAGTGCATGTGCACACCACGCATCGCGTGTAATTTGCCGTGTTCCGTTGCCCCGGGCATCGCTGTTTCCGTCTGACCGTTGTCGCGTGGCCGCCGACCAAAAAAGTATCCCCACCAGCCGCCCCTGCCCCGCCAGGTCCCCCTGGGATCCGTGTGGAGGGTCGGTGATGTCTGTCCCCACCGCCCCTCTCCTCGGGTCCCTCCTGGGCAGTGCTGCTGCCGGGTTCACTTGCCCCTGGATCGCGAGGTGGACGTTCTTTATGCCCCCCTTTCTCGCCAGGTGTCCCCGGGGAACCCCTCGGCGTGGAGGGCCGGTGATGTCTGTCCCCACCGTCCCTCCCCTCCGGTCTCCCCCGGGCTGGGCATCTGCCAGGCTCGCAGACCCGTGGATGCAGCCCTTCCCTGGATCCCCCTGCCTCGCTGGCTACGTTCACCACGCCAGCCTGGATTTTTCCTACAGTCCATCTGGCGTCGGCTCTGTGCCGTTGTTGGAGGGGCCGGCCCAGTGACGTCCGGGTCTCCCTCGGGCACGTGACGATGACCCCTTGGGTACTGTGGTCGCGCCGGAGTGGTTTAGCCTTCTGCAGTCGCAACAGCACCCTGGACTCATCCCCCCCTTCAGGCAGGTTTGCGACGTCCTTCGGCAGTTCAGCTCCTCTTGCCCGCACCCGCCGTTGGGACGGCCCTGGGCCTGGCGCCCCTGGCGACTCGCCCATCAATCTTCTCGCCTGAACGCCCACCCAGCATGATGGGCACGTCGACGCCTTCGTGCACGTCCCCGCGTCGTCTGTTTGGGTCATGCCTCGCGGCATGCACCGAATTCTTCGGCATTTTGTCAGACGGCACGTGCCTGAGTTTCCCTGGATGCCCCCAGCTGTCAGCCTCCCGCGCAGCCCCGCTGCTGCTTGGTGAGTGGGCCGGCCGGCCTGCGGCGCGTCTTGTAGCTAATTCGGTTTGCCCGCCGGCCCGGGCAACTTCTCTCGCCGCTTGCGCGCTCGCTGGTGGCCGCGACCAAAAAAGTATCCCCATCAGCATTTGACGACAAGTGTCCTGATCAGTACTCCTTTCAGGAGTCTCGTTGTGTGCGAGTTTGGTGGCGCCACTTCCATGCACTGGTTCCATGGCCAGTGAATTCTTCCTGGCCCAGCTGGTGTCAGCGTTCCCAGTGATGGTGATCCTGGCCACATCCTGGTATCGCCCCCGCGCCATTTTGGCTGCGCTCCAACCTCGGTTGGCTAATTCTGCATGCGCTCGCCCCTGGGCCTGGTTCCTGGCAGCTGCAGCCCGCACCCCCTCGCACTGTCCGGTCAGCTAAGGTGCTGGTGAGGCCGCTGGTTAGCCGACGTTAGGCAAGCAGGTTCGCGCGTAGCCCGCTCGATCTTTCACGCTGCTGGCGCGTTCGCCTGCGGCTGCGACGGAAAACTATCCCCACCAGCAGGCTAGTGTTTGGATGGTTTTCGACCTGCTCCGCGAGCCCGCTGACCAAAAAGTATTCCCACCAGCTTTTCCCCGTTGTTGTGTCGCTTCCCCGCGCACGTAAACTGGTCTCGCGTTTGACTATTTGACGCCGCGCGGCTGCCCGC